GGCTGTCCTAACTTGGCAGTAGGTTCCTAGTGCTTTTTCATGGTGGACCCCACTAGGAAAAAGTCTACTTGTTATATGTGTAGTTTTAGAAATTATGTATATATATATATATATATATATATATATATATATATATATATATGTGTGTGTGTATGTGTGTGTGTGTGTGTGTGTGTGTGTGTGTGTGATTGCATATATTACAGAGCAGTGAATGTTGAGTTCTTTCTTATTTTGGATGATGGTAAATAGAAGTTCTAGTATTTTCTTCTTATCTCTGGTTTGTGGCTTTGTTGCCCATGACACACACTCAGCATTGCTTGGTCTCTACTACTGCTGCTGCCCATGACACACACTCAGCATTGCTTGGTCTCTACTACTACTGCTGCCCATGACACACACTCAGCATTGCTTGGTCTCCCCCATTTATTTATCCTCCCTTTTAACTATCCCCCATTACACTGGGAATTGTTGATTTTTGTTTTATTAAAAAATAACCCCACAAACTCAAATAACTCCCGTGTCTGTTCCAATGCTCAGGGGTTTATGAACATGGAGGCCCATCTTGGTGCTTCTGGCAGGTAAGGGGACTGGCGAACCTCTGTAAAGACATGGTCCCTGGTTTCCTTGGTGAGCCTACAAGTGTTTTGAACGCCTGTGACAGACCAGCCTGAGATGCGAGGGTTTGTTAGCAGGCAAGCAAAGGTGAGAGACAAGTCGGGGCTACACGTCCTGTGAACCATGGTAATGAGCAAAAAATGTACTTGGAATTACAATCCTTGGTGACCTATGGACAGAAATACACCAGTCTTCTTCCTTTCAGTTTGCTAAACAGACAAACAAACAAATCGACCACATAAACCTCTTTAAAAACTGTTTGTAGTTTAGCTGACTTTTATGATCAGATTTTCGGAGCCATCCAGGATAGAGTTCTTATTTTAAAGTCAAGAACTGACTTGCTCTATGGCAACAGAGGGGGACTGGGGAAACAGATCTCCTGGTGAGCAGGCCGCACAGCCACGGAGGTGTAGATCTGTTGGTTTTTCTAGCTGGGTTGGGGCAAATGGAGTGCGGACAGATGACAGTGATTGAGGGAGGTCGCCCATCCCTCTGGGAGCCTTTGTGTTCAGGGCAATGGATCACTGTACAGGAATCCGTTAATCTTTGAGTCTATAATTGAAGTGGCTAGGTATGCTCCTTTAGGGCTTGAGAATTTATGCCGTAGGCAGAACCTATTCAATTTAGTTCCTTCATATCAGATCACCACTCATGTATACAAACTTGTTGGCCTTAGTCTAGAGTTTTCTTTCTTCTATCAAGGTATGCAAGCAATGATAGAGATCACGAGCCTTGCGTGTCTTCTCGCCACTGATTTCATAAACAGCTGGCAAAGAATAACTATTTAGCTCATTATGTTTTTGCACAACTAACATATGCCAGGGAAGTTCTTAAATTTTTGGTGTCACTGACCACATTGGGAATCTCATGAAAGTTAGCGATCTTTCCCCCATAAAAATACCCATATGGCATATACAAAGGTTTTGTATCTGGTTGAGGAGTATTTATGGACATTTGATGTCTACTCTGGACACCTCTATGGAGAGGAGCTTGTTAGGGACATGGAACAGTGTTTTTGTTCGTTTGTTTGTAATATGTTTTTATTGATTTCAGAGAGGAAGGGAGAGTGAGAGATAGAAACATCAATGAGAGAGAATCATTGATCTGCTGCCTTCTGCATGATCGAGCCTACAACCTGGGCACGAGCCCTTGACTGGCATAGAACCAGAGACCCATCAGTCTGCAGGCCACATCCTTAGCCACTGAGCCAAACCAACTAGGGTGGAACAGTGTTTTTGAGAACAATTGAGGATCCAGCTAAAGTTAGACATCATTGACTGGTAATGTCCCTAAGATTTCAGATGACACAGTTTTCCCTAGGCATACTCTGTTGCCTGGGTGTATGGGTATAAGAAAGAAGATGGTGAGATTATTTAGAGACCAGGATTGCGGTATTGGGGCAGTGAGAGACCATATGTAAATGAGTGTGTATGTATTGTAGCTGTACCTGGGAATGTGTTGGGAATAAATGAGTACCCAGAACTCCAGAGTAACCAGGGAAGGTAGAAAAGGAATTTAAGAGGGCATAAAAGGGCTTAGATACCTGGGAGGGAGGGGGAGAGGGATTGCTGGTGGCTGGAGAATATTTGGTTGGAAATGAGAAAAGGAGAGGTAAAAGCTAGGGAATGTGGTCACCGGAAGGGATTTTAGAGCAGAACTGCAGGAGTGGAGTATTTCTGTGTGGTGACAGGGCGTAGGGTGTGACCTTGTCTAGAGTGTCAGATGTTATTTATGAGCATAAAAGCTGTCCAGGATGCATGCAGAGGTGAGGGGAGAAGCCTGTAAGATGCAAGATAATCAGTTAATTTGGAAAAGGGACCTCTTTGATTTTAGAGAGAGAAAAGAAAGCTCTCTGAAGTCGAGTTTTGTCTGGAAACTTCATTAATCTGAGAACTTCCACCCCCGCCACTCTTTTTATTTTTTTATTTTTTTTACTTTGCTTGCTGTCTCCTACTCCCAAAAAGGCACATGCTTGGGAATCAGACCTACCTGTTTAGAGCCATTTATTATTGGGGACCCTTGATCAGTGCCTCAGGCTTCCCAGTTTAGGTCCTTTGGCCCAGGGAATGTGCAAACATTATTTTTGCAGAACCTGCCATTAATTGTGCTACCTTCCATCTGTAGAGTGGTTATAACAACTCCTAACTCAATGGGGTATTCAGTGAAATAAAGTGGGGACTGTGCCCGGCCCAGTACCTGTTATATCGTAATTGCTCAATAACTCAGGCTTCTTTCTACTCAATGCCTTTTGTGCCCAGCACCTCTGCCCCCTTTGCTTCTCACCTGGCTTTTTCATTTAACTGGTTTGTATTCACTTTCCTGTACGTCATACAGAGCAAAAACCATAAAAGTGATATTGAACCAAGGTTTAGGGTTCCAAGGGATAAAAGGATGATTATGTTTTCATGTACTTTTCTACATTAAAAATCAATGCTTAAGATAATAAATAGGCAACAAAACTTGAGTGAGATGGAAACGATGTGATGAAAACTACCAGGTTCATTGCCTGATCTTTATTAGTTGGCAGCCTGGTTTCATTTTTAGGATCAAGGAATTAAATGGATCAAGGAGGGGCTTTGATTTCCAGCATTTAGAGCTCCCAGCTTTGGGGAGAGAAAGAGATCACGGAAACCCAGGAGCCGAAATATGCTTCTTATCATAATAGGCGTAGAGGGGTGTGGGTGGACAAAGAAATTGTGACTTAGAATTTTTATACGCAGGGAACCCACCCAGCCCGCTATTTTGCCCTACCAGGTTCCCAAAGTAACGGAATCCAAGTCTCCAGGCCAGATTTTCCCTTTAGCCATTCCCGGCCACGCAGAGCGGAGCTGGGAGCCCACAGAAAGGGATGTCTTCATCGCCAACCAGGGATGGAACAAACCCGCTCGCTCAGGGAGCGCTGAGAACCGAGGGGTCCCTCCACCGCCCTCAGCAGCCAACATGACTTGACTGCCCCCCATCCCGCGCGGTGCCCACTCTCCCGGCGCCCCCACCCTTTCCGGGTGCGCGCGCAGGAGCCGGCGAGCCGGGAGCTGTGCGCCCGGCAGCCTGCGGGCGGCGGCCGGCGGGCTCTGGCGGAGGGAGGGGGGTGTCCAGTGGCGGCGGCGGCGGCGGAGTAGCTGTTACCGCAGGGGGTCCCCTCGGCCGCGCCCCGCTGCTACCTGCGCGTCCCCCGGACCCTCCAGCACCGGGCCGTGGGGCCTGTCAGTGCCGCAGCGGCGGTGTCCCCGGGTCCGCCAATTAGGAGCCCGGGCGTTTGGCTCCCGGAGGCGCGGGGCGAGCGGCGCTGCCCGTTCCGGCGTGCGGAGGTGGCGCCGCGCGAGTCCCTCCCGCCGCGCCCCCCGCGACGTTTTCGGAGGGGGGGGGGGATAGAGAACTGCTGTGACTTTTGAGGTCCGACTCCTCCTTCCGGCCATCCTCCTGACGCGCCAGCCCGAGAGAGGCCAGCGTGACCGGCAGGCCCCGAAGGCTCCAGGCGTGGTGCTGGGACTTGGAACGGGTCCCGGAGCCCGCGGCTCCGTGCGCGCTGGTTCGTTTGGCGTGGGTTGGGGTGTCCCCAGGCGCAAGGGGGCGGGAAGGACTTCGCACTCTGCTCCGTTACTCACCCCTCCCACCCCCTAGTACTGTTCCCACTTTGAGAGTCATTGAGACTTGAGCCTGACTGCGGAGCCCCCAGGATGATGCGGGCGCAGGGCGCGCGGGCTTGCCTCCCCCCCGCCCGGCGTGATGAAGCGGGTTTGTGAGCGGAACAAAGGCACCCGCCCCGGGGGGGAGCGGGTCCGGGGCTGAAGACCGCGGGGCGCGGGCGCGACAGCGGGCTGCCTGCGGACCCGGGTGGCGGCGGTGCCGCCCGAGGAGGCGAGGCGCGCTTCTCCGGGGGGCGGACCAAGAACCCAGAGCCCGACACCTGCGCGCCGTCCCCGCCCCGGCGCCGGGCAGCCCCGCCTGCTGGCCCGCTGGCCACGGAGGTCTCCTGCTGCCGCGGCCCCAGTCCCGGAGGCCCGAGGGCCAGCGACGGACCACTTGCTGGTGCGGAGGAGAGGCCCCCGATCTCCGGCCCTTCGCCGAGAAGCCCGGGCGCCTGGAAGGGGCCGCGCGCCGTGGAGTGTACGCAGGCGGATCCGGGAGCACTTCTGCACCCTCAGGGCTTCCAAGTGAGCGGTTTGGCCCTCCCCCTGAGCGCCCTGCTCTCTCCACCGTCTCGGCCGCTGGAGCATCCGCTCTGTGGGGCCGGCGGGAGCGGCTGGGATTCTCGCTGTCCGCCCGGAGTGTGTGGAGTGTGAGGCTCTCACGGTCCCAGTTGCCCCGCGCCTGCCTCGCCGGAGCCGGAGCCAGAGCCAGAAAGGGCACACGGGTCCGGGGCGAGGGCCGGTCGGGCGTGTTTGATGGCTTCACTGAGAAGAGTCAAAGTGCTGCTGGTGTTGAACTTGATAGCGGTGGCCGGCTTCGTGCTCTTCCTGGCCAAGTGCCGGCCCATCGCGGTGCGCAGCGGAGATGCCTTCCACGAGATTCGGCCGCGCGCCGAGGCGGCCAACCTGAGCGCGCACGGCGCCAGCCCCATCCAGGACGCGGTCCTGAAGCGCCTCTCGCTGCTGGAGGACATCGTCTACCGGCAGCTGAATGGTAAGGACGCGCGCCAGCGCCCACGGGGCTTCGGTAAATCCCGTGGGGGCCTTGGCTTGCACGCGGTTTGGGGGAGCCCCACACCTCCCGGCTCCCGCGCGCTCCCTCTTCTTACCCTTTCTGCCCTGCCTTGGCCAAGAGGCCAGGGCTGCTGGAAAGAATTCCCCCTAAGTTTGCTTTTATTGTGGAAACGTGTCCGTACAGCTGGTTCCCGCGTTCAGGGACGTGCAGGAATCATTACCTGGCGACTGAATCCCAAGTGCAGAAACCAGTCCCGTGGCCAAGTGACTTAGAGGAAGAAAATAGCCTTACAGTTGAGCTTTTGGTGGAGTCTGACTGGGAGGGATTTGGGTGGGCTTTAATGTTTACAAAGTCAAGGCCTCAGGTCTGGAGCTAGTGTGCTTGGGTAGTAAGTTGGAGGCGGCGGCTAATAATGAGACTCCTCCATTTCGCAGCCCAAGGGGAGGCTGCTATTAAAAACACACCTGGCGTCTCCCAGAGAAATGCCTGGGGGCGATGTTAAAGTTCTTGGTGTTCGGGAAACAGGTTTTTATAGTGTAAAGCGAGGTGTGCCATCCAATTACAGCAGGTCCTCCAATAACTTGAATTCGTTCAACCTCATTTCCTAAAACGTTGATGAGATGCTGAGGAAACTTAGCTCTTGCTCATATCAATTAGCTTGTGGTAAAATTGGTTTCGTTATACCAGTCTTCTTAAAGTCATAGGATCTATCCATGACGTGAAGTGATGACTTCCTGAATCCTAAAATGTTCTCTTCAGTGCTTTAGGAGAAGAGAGATATTTAAAGTGCTCTGGTTACATCTGGTCCAGGGACTGACAAGTCATTGTACACTAGTCAGGTTGAGAATTCCCTACTCAGGTACAGGCAACTCTCCAGGGCTTGCATAGCCGCTATCTGAGGCAGATCTAAGGCTGTCACCTCCTTCCTGAGTATTTAACACAAGTTCTCATGGTAGTTTCAGAATTAGAGATAATCACAAAGATAACGATTACAATAATTGGTAGAATTCTTGCTGTGTTCCAGATGCTGTGCAGAGATGTCATAAGTGCATTGAATGCCAGCCCCACAATCAGCTATGAGAAAAGGCTTGGAGAGTTTGACTAAGTTGCCTGGTGGCCTGTAGCTAGTCAGGTGTAGGGTCTGGAATCAGAGCCCATTGTCTGGTTGTCCACAGAGCCTATGTTCTTGACAACTTCTATTTACCGTCTCTTTCTAATTAAGCAGTAGTTTTAAGTTTGATGACAAGAGGATTCTACCTTAGGAAGAACTGACTCCATTGTCTTCCCTGCAATTAGAGTGAGAGACCAGGCTGGCGGCAGGGAGAAGAATGACACCAGACTGTTTTCCAGTAATCCTTTCTGGGTCCTTCTGGGTGGGATGTGGGCAGATCTCTGAAAGAATGGTGTTCTCTGTATCATTCAACAAGTACCCAGGGTCCTTGAACTTACCTCTGCTGTGGGAAGCTGCAGCCCTCCCAGCCCCTCACAGACATTGTGGCCTGGCTGTCCATATAGCCTGCTGAGCGGTTGTGAGGGAACTCATCTCCTGAATGTCACAAAATTACTACCCACAGCTCATTTCTGGAGGAATTAGAAGCTTATGGGGAGGGCCTTATTATTCTACACAGAACCTGCCATAGAGGTACCCATAGGACCCAAAAGAGAGAGTGCAACATAGCCTGAGCTCTCTCACTGTCCAACTGCATTCAAGACACAAGCTGTTTAAGTATTGATTTTAATTAGGAAACTAAATATGATATAGTCATGCATCCATAAATATCCCAAAAGGAAGAATACAATTCCAAAAGATATTTCCTAAGTGACACCCAGGGCTCATTTAGTCTTTACCGCGACTCTAGGAGATAGGTGCTCTCTCTTCACCCCAGTTAGCTTGCTTACAGTCAGCCACCCAGTCAGGGGCTTGTAGAGCTGGGACTTGAACTCAGATACTCTGGTTCCGGAATTGAGGTTCTTAGCTGTTGCACCAGTGAGTCTCAATCTTTCCCTCTAGATGCTTTCTTGTATCTGTTCTTCCATTCTTTCTGTGAGGCCCCACAGAGAGGGCCTATTAAGACACACATTTCGGGCCCCACCCTCAGAGTCTCTGATTCCGTAGATCTGGGGTGAGGGGATTCCGTAGATCTGGGGTGAGGGCCTGAGATTTTGCATCTCTGACAAGCTTGTGGCCTGACCCATGGTCCCCTGTCCTCTACTCTGCTGCCTGCATCAAGCAAAGCAAAGAGGAAAAACCATTTGTGTGCCAACACCAGGGTGGGGGTGGGGACTTCTGAGAAGCAAGAGCTTGCTTCAGATGGGCTGAGGGTCTGGCTTCTGCCATGCAAGTGACTCCGTGGGGGAGAGTGGGGGTATCCTGTGCTTGGGACTGGCTGGGTCAGGTGCCAGGGGTGGGAAGGCTGAGTTTTCTTGACTTGCAGTCTCCGAGGAAGAGCTGGCAGGAGAGCAGGGTTGAGATCTTTTCCCGGGCAAGCCAGGAATTCAAGCTGCAACTAGGTAGATGTTATCCTCCCGCTGCAGAGTGTAATTTGTAGTGACATGAAGCCTGGAGGAGGAGAGCAGGGGAAAGTTGTGATATGGAAGGAACCCACCCCTCTCCACCCCACCCTCCAGCACTCCTTCCTCTGTCTGTGCTTGCTTTGGGTGCTGGTGTCCCGCCTACTGAGGTGCTAGGCCTGCAGGGGCCACCTGCTGCAGTGGGAGGCTGGTGAAGGGAGGAGAGGTTTCCCGGTGCCTGAGTGATGGGGCCTGTATTGCTGTGTCCATTTGCTTTGTAGCCTGTTCCATCTGTTCCTACTGAAGGAGAAGAGGGAAACCTTGATTTTGGCATTCTTTGTTCCTCAGGATTATTGGGGCCTGGGAGAGCCAGGCACTGGGCATATGTAGAAACAAGGCCACTTAGGTCCAGCCCCTCAGGTACAAAGTGGGAGCTAGTGTGTGTGTGTGTGTGTGTGTGTGTGTGTATAAAATTTCTTTATTGATTTCAGAGAAAAAGAAAGAGGGAGAGAGAGATAGAAGCATCAATGATGAGAGGGAATCATTGATCGACTACTTCCTGCATGCCCCATACTGGGAATTGAGCCCGCAACCCGGGCATGTGCCCTTGACTGGAATCGAACCCAGGACCCCTCAGTTTGCAGGCCGATGCTCTATCCACTGAGCCAAACTGGCTAGGGCGGGAGCTGGTATTTTAAAGTTTTCCATATTTCTTAAACCTTTCCTGTGGACTTTTATGAAGTCCCAGCAGCAGGGACTCCTGGAGGGCACCAGGCATTCCCGGTGCTCTCTCAAGGACAGGTTTCCTTGGGGGTTCTGACAGGGCCCCCTGGGCTGGGGCACCTGGATGACACAGATATCCTCAGGATTTATCTCTCTGCCAAGACTCTTGGTACCAAGGTTTCGAATCCTGTCTTTTGGAAAAACAGTTACAGGTTGTAATTGTTAATGTTTTTGTTTGTCTTAATCCAGGCTGAAAAGAACATTTTAAAGCGACAGTGGAGATGTTGGTATTGGAGGAAAGAGCACACAGAGATGAATTAGTGTTTTCTCTCTAGATGCTTTCTTGTATCTGCTCTTCCATTCTTTCAATGAGGCCCCATTGTTGACCCTGACCTTTATGGCAGTACCCTCTAACCCAGTGCCCTGCCTCTGGTCTCTCACCCCTTTCTTCCCAGAGCATGCGTAGTTCCAGCTATCCGAGTGGAAAGCACCACCTCCTAAAGGTCCCACACTTTCCAGGGGCTCTCTGTTTCCTGAGGGGTCATGGTCAGGCCTGGAGGCTGACAGCCAGGACTTGCCACAGCCTGCTCCAGTCCCCATCTCCCATGTTCCCACCCTTGCTTCAGTGTCCTCTGCCTCTTTGAGTCAGACTGATCCACTTGCTGCAATACCTCTCATTTGCCTTCAGATTGTAGCCTCCACATTCCAGCCCCAGTCTTTGAGAAGGGCTAGGTATCCTGGTTGTCTCTCCCTGCCCCTTTCTACATTCCTTCTTTAAAGCTTGGCTCAAGGTCATGAGCCATGGGTGGGGAACTTGTGCCAGGACACAAGGTCTGAGCTTTTCCTGCTCCAAGTTGGCTGTGGCTCAGCTATCAGTGACCTTTGTACCATAGTTTGGATTTTTTGATACCACCCCTATCCCACATAAACTCATGTGGGATCCTCATTGCTTTCTCTCTTTACCTGTATGCGGTGGCCTTAGAGTCCACCTCTTGGGGTCATACAAAATGATCCTTAGTCCCTGAATGACTACATGGAGCAGAGCCGTGGCTCTGTCTTGATGTCTCTGTGCATTGGGTCATCATGCTAACCCATTGAGATTTTGGAGCTTATCTATTACAGCAGCTAGTGCTAATTACCCTACTTTGATTAGGCAGGGTTAGAACACTTGTTTCCCTAAGTGACAAGCCACACTATCTACTGTAGGTGTCTGTCCTCAATTTATAGGATCAGCAAATGCCATTGCACCTTGACCATAATGTGGGCAACTAAGGTTTATTGGTTGATTGATTGGATGTGAGCTAGTTTTAGGAGATAATTGATAGCCACAAAGGAAATAACCTCAACGCTATAAAGGCTGAGTTGGGTTGGGTAGATATGGTGAGGGGAAGGGGGTGGGAAGACTTAGATGGAAAAACTGAGTGTGAGGAGCCATCTTGCCTGTATCATCGTGCTTGCCTATACCATCTTGTCTGCCTGTACCATCTTGAGGCTGCTCTGGTCCTTAACTTTCTTGTCTGAAGGGCACCCAGTCCTTCTGAGGAGCTTGGAAGTGATGGAGTCAGCCAGTTTAGGGAGCAGCATGTTTTAGTATGTTTTCTTTGAATATGTAATTTTATAACATGAATATTGTTTTATGTTCCCTTTCTGTAGAGTAAAATTCCTATTGTAAAAAATTTGGAAAACCAGAATAAATTCATACAGAATGTGTGAAACTGTTTTTTCAATGGCAACATGGTGGTTTT